AAGGTTATATTCATATATATTTATATTCCAGAACAGTGCTTGTTATGTGCGTAACATTACAGCATTCACATTTTAGTTTACCCTCAAATCATCAATCATAAAATGCGAGCATAAGTCACGCTTCTAACGTTAACGTCTAATATATATGAATAAGTCGAATTTGTAACACAGTTTTCGCTTTCCCCCTTCCTTACTGAGAGAATAATTCAGAGGTGTGGGAAACCACAAAGCTGGGTGGAAGCCAACAATACCCCAAGCTCTGTGGTCCTATGTTGGGATGTTTGGCCAACTCGAGGGATGTTTGGCAAACTCCAAAATGTATTTGGTGTCCTGTTCTTAATGAGGAGCTAAACAGTTTGTCTGTTCAGGTAACACGTGTCTGTGCGTGTGTCATATATGTGTAATGACATCGGGGATGTCACTGTACGGTGCCGGGCCGGGAGGGACGTGGCGTGCGATGTTCTTACGTCGCGGACAGCACCGGGTGGGTTGCTGAGTGAGGCCGGCTCTAGCACAGCACGGCGTGCGATGCCCCGTCATCGCGTACACCCCGTAGGTGGGTGTAGTACCAGCCCTAGCGGGGCTTGGTGAGCACTGGGATAGCGCGGGCACCACGCATAGCGGGCTCCCACCAGGGGGAGTGGGAGAGTGTCAGCCCAGGGACTGGGTTGCCCCGGGCCATGGCACTCTGGTTGACCCCGTAGACATGTGATCTCGAGTGTCCACAGAGAAGGCCCCAGGTGGGGGGGGGGGCTAGGGGGTGATCACGTGTCCAGGGAGAGCTCTCGAGGGGGATCGAGAGGAAGCTAGAACGCTCCAGAAGGTGGGCGGGGCCTGGGCGGAGCCAGCCCCAACCCGGGAGCATATAAGGTAGGTCCCTGAGAGGGACTGGGATCGCTGCATTCTACAAGCTGGAAGCTCTACGTCCTACGAGGCATCAACACGTGGCCGGGGACCCCAAGTGAGGGTCCGACCCTTTGTAGCTGTAACTCCTACGTATAGTGTAGTTAGCTGGGTGGTCACCACCCCAGGCTGTATCTGGTAAAGGGACAGTTACCCCTTGTATATACGTGTTACAATAAATGTGTTTCCTCGGAAGAATAACGTCTGCGACTCCGTTGGACTCACTACATACAGTATGTAGTCATTCAATCACACGGAAACATTTAAATCACAGCAGGATCTCCGTTGCAGTGGGCACCTCGGCCAGAGGTCATTTGTGTTTACAATGTTTCATGCCAATGCTTTTCTTACCATTTTCATTGGATAGAGCACGATTGTTCTGAAATGTCCAAATGAAGGCGAATCACTTTTAAATCCCCTCCAGAAAAATATTGACTGATATCGTAGTACTGCTAATTTGAATGTGTTCCATTGTTGTGTTGAGAGAATTGGTGTTAACCAAATTCAGGACATTTTGGAGTTTCCAAAAGTAGCAGCAAAACGGAGTGTCTTTGATTGTGATCATCCTCCAGAGTCAAGATCTTACCCGTGTGACGTCACGAAAGCCTCATTTGCTTTTGAGTGCTCTTGAGGGGAAATCCTCAAACGGCAACGCATGGGGGAGATTTAGCTTGGATATGGAGTGCTCAAATAGCAACTTGGGGATCACGTAGACGGCCCTACCGTTTGCACAATTTATGAGAGTTACATTCGCACAAGCGTCAAAGGGCCCTTTGAAGGAACCGGCCTGCCGAAGTGATTTGACATCAGTGTGATTTCTGGGCAATGTATGGTGGCGCACCCCCACAATGCAAAGCGTCCCAACGCGCTGCCCCCTTGGAGTGCCCACTGCAATCCCGATCCAAGCTTCAGTTCATTATTCACTGTGTAAGAGATTTAAAACATGTGATGGAGCATTACCACGTGATACCATCAACATAGGAACTGCTCTATATATTCTAATGCAAGCACGAGAACTTAAAATATATGAATTGCTTCCAACATGTATTTAAATGTTTTAATTGAATAGAACGATCGAACATAGAACAATTGTTAAGTTAAATAAATAGAGTTATAATAATAAAAAATATAAAACTATTCCAATAAGCAAGTAATAGGACTTTTAAAATCGCCAAAAATTGCAGCCTTTGCTAATTGCAAATCGCATTCATTCAAATTGCGATTTCGATTTGTAATCAATTAATCGTTCAGCCCTAGTTGAGTGGGATCGCGCAGCTCTTGATCCAAAAAATGTATCGGTACCTGCGCTTGTAACAACTACCAGCGGCTGGCTGGCTGGAAAATGAGCAGGATACGGGAGTCGTGAGTGGCTCACCATTGATGTTTCCACAAGGGTTTGTTTTTGCTGTTGCTTCTGAAATGTAATTTCCAGATGCTTTTTACTTAAGCCACTTTATTGCCACAAGAAGAGGCTACATTTATTGTGAGCGGAAAGGCAGTTTCTGTACATGTTTGGTGGGAAAAGTCTAATTTGCTCCTATATCTGCAAGAGACTGCCCAGAATCATGCCCCTCGTTCTTTTCAATTACCGTATTAAATTATTTGCTCTATTATGTAAAAGAAATCAAAGCTTTGGAGAAGAAAAAAAAAGCCACGCGAGTAATTATTTCATAATTTAATCACGTAAATACAGTACAGGCCTTCAATCACCTCAGTCATTAGTCAACTAATCGAAATAATAATTAAAATAACATTTACTATACTTCATGTATTACACTTTGTATTTCACATAGCTTCATAAGTATGCAAATTATTCTCAAATTAATTTATTTTGTAACCACATTACGTGCTAAACATAGCATTATGCGCTTGTTAATTTGCATATTTAATCCACAATTGTGAAACTATTCCCTTGTACGCCGTGATATAGATTTAAAATGTGCCATTAAAATGTACGGTTCGTTTACATATACAAAAATAATGAATGTATATGAGATAACAGGTGGAGGAGCCTCTGCTGAGAGGAAACAGCAATTTTGGTTACTGTTATATATTTTTTCAAAATAGTGTTACATTTTAATAGCAAATTAGAGGTGTTTCCCTAAAGAAAACGATCTGATTTGCACATCATCAGGCATCAGTTTGACCAACGGTGGCACCGTGGGGGGAGGGGTTAACAAAAAACTACTACAACAAAAAATTGTGTTTAAAATCTATCAGCAGAAAGAACCCAAAACACAACTATCCCGAGAACATGGCATCGCCACGTGTCATGACGCCAACTCATAAGAGTGCTGATGGGACGTTCCACTTTGAAGCAGAGTTAATATGAAAAACACATTGTGAAGAACACCTTCTTATGCTGGCAATTGGATGCTCCCTTGGTATGGATCCCCATATGGTCAACTTGTGATCATTAACATGGCTGAGACTGAGGCATCTGGGAAAAAAGTCTTCTCATTAACACTGGCATTTTGTTCTTGGGTCCCTCTGCTCAGCTATTTCTAAAATGGTACTTAAGGAGTAAATATACTGTATTGTTGAGTTAAGTATTCTTCTTGAACCTTATCTTCTGAGCACAGGGTGCTCAATCGTAAAGTCCCCCGGTTTTGAAGGAAATCATATTTTAATGGCAAATGCTACAAATGTTAAATATGCCTTAGAACGTACGATAACACATGTTTTACCGCCGTGATTTTCTATCTACACACTTAAACCTCGTGTCCTTTATTGTGTTCACACTGTTGTAGTCTATCATCAAGGTCCTTAGGATCTTCTGATCTCCAACAGCTCAGCACTCCCAAGTCGATAGGTTGCACTCTTTTGGTGAACGGCTTTTGTTAATGTGGAACCCAAGCTATGGAACGCCTCGAAATCAAGCAATCAGAGTCGGTAAATATATTTAAGTCTGCTTTGAAAACTCATCTCCATAAAGTGGCCTTCACTCTTTAGTTTGGTCGGTTGCCCTGGTTCTGTTTTTGTTTCCTGCTTTTCATGCATTGCGCATTGGGATCCTAGGATGGAATGCGCATTATACATTTGAATTATCTTGTAGATTTTTACCAAAACAATCGTGAACATTCCACCTGCAATTGTTATCATTGCCACATTTCTTGACAAAGGTTTGTGGTGGATTACATTTTATACACAATTATTTATCTTCCTTTAACAGATCCTCCAACACAATTGGTCAAGTAAAGAGATATCAGGTTTGGTGGACCTTGTAGGCATACTGAAGTGGTTAGGGTCAAAAACACCCTTGGTTTATTTAAACTGAGTCATCTGCTCAGATGGCGCTTCACCGCTTCACCGCCCACAACAACGTCTCATACTGCTAGGAACCTCCTGGTTACTACACCAGCCCACAGGGGATTATTGTGTCCGTCCGTCGTGCATCTAAATATGGGAGGGGTGGGGCTGGATGGAGAGGGGAGGGTGGGGAGGGGCTGGGTGGGGAGGGGAGGGGCTGGGTGGGGAGGGTGGGGCTGGGTGGGGGTGGGAGCGGTGGGGCTGGGTGGGGAGGGGCTGGTCACCCCGTGGTGCCCTTATAAAGCCCAACGTTTAACCTACTCACGCCGGCTTGTGCCCGCCCTCATAGTCGGGCATATTTGCGGAATACACCACGTGGTGCCGCCGTTGACCCTGGTCATTGACCGAGCAACCCAACGTTCCTACCAGCTCCCTCCGCAGGAATGTGTTTTAGTACCAGTCACTTGTTTAAGCTCAGTCAGCCCTAGATCTTATTTCGCTGTCTTCTAACACGAGAGACTTGATTTAAATTAAACATGAACCACAACGCCCATGGAGAGCTTTTTCCTGCACTGTCGCCATCTTGGAATGATTGGACTATTTTATGTACAGTGCCAACACCTGAGGAAACAAATGAAGCCCTACAAACAAAAAACACAAACTTTAGAATGAATCGAACATTTGTATAGATCGTATACTCATACTAATATGTAAATTCATGTATTTTTCTCCTATATGGCACATCTACGAATGGCTTTTACAATCATCCTGAATAATGCCAGGAATGTTAAGTTTCCTCCTCTGGCTCAATGGCGTCAATGGAGTTGAGCATTAGCACAGCTGGTTAAATGAACATGGAAACACTTTAAACTTTGGTGGCAATACAGTATGTGCTTCTCAAAGGCAATATTTTTAAACTAAACATTAACAATACCCGTGATATTCCCTTGTTTGGGCAGTTTAATAATGATCTAACATTTTCTTCAAGGAGATCATTTCACCTGAAAGATCCCATTGACATCGTACATGTCAAGGAAATCTTGGAAATGGTTGCGACACAAGTGGATTTATTTCACAATTGTAAGCATTTCTGAAGAAATGTTTTCACATTTTCAGATTATTCTCCACGAGGTCTGCATACCACGGACAGACCTGTATTCCCCAAGAGCAGATGACACTTTGGTGGCTGTGGGAACTGAGCTATCCACTCGATGCAAACTCGATAACACAACACTTGCCGCTGAGCTCCACAATGTTCTGTATGATTTAAAAGTTAATCTCATTGAAGGGGACAATCCAGTTTGGGCCATTACCAGGAATAGTGTATAAAAATGTAAGGAATGTTTTAGAGTCCGTTCACAGGTAAGCCTTCAAAAACTCAGTGTTTCCCAAGGCACCCACATGCAGTGTCCTAATACTTTGAATGCGAGTGGAATTCTCTGACACATGTTCAGGGCATGGAAATTGTTGCGTTAAATACATTGAATTTGGCAATGTCTGTTTTCCTGCATTTGGTAACGCTGACTGCAAACAGCATGGCAACACCTCCCATCCCAGTGGCCTGGTTAACGCTCTGGTCACCTCAAAACGCAACAGCTCTACAGTTTTTTTTTTTAAACATGGAAAACAATAGGATTGCCTTTCAGATTCACCGAGTCTCATCAGCAGGGCGTTGTCTCTTACATTTAATCCGATTGTGGATTAAATGTTCACTTAATTTTATGGATTATACAATCACATTACCTCTTTATTTATTATCACTCATAATCTACTGAGACAGTACATAATGATTGTTTTGCATGATGTGTACGTTATTGGCCAGGTGGCACTGCCCAACAATTTTAAGGTTAAGGGTAAAATTGTGGTTTAGAGTTGAGTCAGCCCATTATCCCTTGAATCACTGAAAGGAAGACTGCTTTGTTGTGAGTCAACAGTAGTAGTGCTATGGAGGGACTGGGATCCCACTATAGGAATGTTCAATTACACACTGCATCTGGGATGCCAACAGAGACGAGTGCCACATATAGTACACGTCTACCTGTCATTGTATGTTCCGTGAACTTTCTAATAATCATCCTTACTATGCGCCTGCTGTGAACAGACACGGTCCACGACGTTGTGGAATGTTGAGTTGTGTTCCTCGAAGCTCAAGGAGATGCTCCAAATGCGGCGGGGCCATGCTGAGGGGTGCGAGGCCCCCGCAGATCTTCACGCAGGGTAAGGGAGACCGTCATGGCCTGCATGGACCCACGAAGGTCTGCTCCAGGCGCTGGAAGCGTTCCAACATGGCTGAATAAACCTGCAGCATGACAGGGCGGTAGTAGTCAGTGACGTTCGCTACATCATGCAGCATCAAGTGCGTGATGATCATCATTATTGCCGTCGTCGTCATCATCGGTATCTTATACAAGGGAAATTGCAGATGATAGCGCAAACTCTTATCGCACTCGCAGTCTCTGCAAGTGAAATAAGAGTTGGTTGCCCCTAATTTCCCTTGTTTGTTAGCAGCATTGGGAATACATCGCAAAGTCACAACATGGCCGTGTCCTGTCACCCCATAATGGGAGTTTGGGTGGATCCATAGCATTTGCACAAATGAGAGGAGTTTGCAGAACCCTACCTTTTCCAGGATTATCTAATGCATTTTGTGTTCATTCCATTTACTTACACTCGGCATACATGAATGGAGAGAGCGTACATACATTGTCAAAATGTAATTGTATACACTGCTGAGACACACTCTGTATCCAGGCATCTGTTATTGATTTTATTGCTGTTTAGCAGGGAACTGCGCGACGAGACCCGAATGCATCCTGATGCTTCGAGGCTCTTTAAACTTTGTGACACGCGCTTGCAAATTTGATGAGTATCACATACCACCCACGCTTCATCACTTGCATAACCTGCGTGTTTTGTTAATTGCACGTGAATTACGTGTTTTTTCCCCTTGTTCTTTTTTCACGGTTGCATTTACAAATGAGGCTAGGTGTGGTGAACGCTCATTTTAATTCCAATGCCTAAGCTAACCATCAAACAAGCCGTAGCGAGTGCACTTGTGCTCTCTAAGTGCTCGAGTTTTATTTATTTATTTGTGAGACTAAACAAAAACTACAGGAGATGCAGCGTGACAGCGTAATTACTTACTTTCATTAAATTATGGCAATTTCAAATGAAAAGGCAATTTTTCCATCTGTGTTTCTAAGAAATTAGACATGTAGCATGGGATCTTCTTAATTGATTTACACAATGGCATCGCGATTTTTCCCTTTCATATTTTCTTTGCAAATTGATTGATGGAATGAGACCAGTCGTGAGAAGCCAGTGCTCATCTTACAGATATGCACTAATATTTCGCAATATTATTATGATAAAAAAGTACCATTTTGCTTTGTACACTTATCGCTTGATCTTTATTAGTATAGTTAAAGTAAAAGGTTAACGTCTATCTTTGTCGTCAATTATTAACATTCACAATGCCTTTCATATTTGTTTGTAGCTGAATCACTTTAACGGCGTTCCAAATGTATTTACTATATTCATGTTTAATAATGTTTTTAATTTATCATCATATTACTATTTGTGCTATTATCACATAGGTGAATAAACTCCTTCTGGCAACCATTTTAATCAGAGCACGTTGAGGAAAGGCCCCGGGAAATGACACCACAGATCTACTGATCGAACCACATCTTCAATAGGCCTCGGTTACGCAACACTACACGACGATCCTTTATGCTCCGTATAGAGTAGTGCACTGCGTATTCATCATCTGTTGCAAACGCACAAAAAGCTTCACTGACAAAAAACAAAATATGCAACTGGTAACTGGGCTGAGATTACAAATCATTGTAAAACAAACTCTCTGCATTGGCTGGAGAGTAGTGCCACTCCATTCTCTTGCCTTCCAAGTTGCCATAGTTCACTACTCTACGGGACGTCTGGTAAAAACACATGACCAAGCTGCAGTGTGTACAACATTCCCTGGCACGTGTCATGATGGGCACGTCAAGATCCGGCCAAGTCCGTCCAGTGCTCGCCGAGATGCATTGACTTCCGGTTGCCAAACGAATACATCAGAAGCTTGCACTCGTCATTACACACAGTTCCTGCCAGAAATTAACCACAATGCCTTGCCGATCTCGTCAAGAAGCATAAACCATCACCACGCGAACTCTGGTCATCCTCGCAGTGGCGGGTTTTTGGCTGGCCATCGAACAAAAGACATTCACTGCATCGTGCACTTTCAGATGCGCTTCTGCATCCATCTGGAATGCTCTTCCTTCCGAAATCAGGAAGCCACTGTTGCTATATACTTTTAAATGTCGATTGAAAACTAATTTCGTTACAACTGCTTTTTTGTGTTGAGCTTGTTGTCCTTCCCCCGCGCCTCTGATGAGCACGGCTGGCTACGTACGGTGCAAAAGAAGTTCAAAATACATAGATATGTAGTGTGATAGTGCCGTCTGGTGACCGGCGGCGGCAACTATGGTGGACAAACAGTACACACGCCGGTGAGCATATACACGGTGTGTGTGTCGGCAGGGCGGAGGAACTGGGGCAAGGGTCATGGAGGGCCCCATCTGGAAGCCCCTGGAACCTGCTAGTGGATTCGAGAAGGGAGGCGTGGCCAGGGCGGAGCCAGGCCACGCTGGTAGCATAAAAGGGGCCGAGTGCGGGGGGCTCGAGGCTGCCGGTTCTGGGATTGGATCGTCGCTGTCGCCTCGTCGCTGCCATCTTCGCTCGACATTGCGCTGCTAGAAAGTTGTTGGCTGTCTCCGTCAGCACCGTCGGTATTAGACGGCTCGTGTTGTGTTTAGGCAGGCGACTGTAGAGTGTGGCAGGCGAGATCTCGTGAGGTCAATAAAGAAGGTGCCTCTACAAACCTCGTTTCCGACTCACTGACACTACACATACATAGTTTATCATGGTTAACGATCGCCCCAAAACTGTCCCAAGTGGATCATGGCCTCCACGATCTTGTGATGCTGAAACCTATCCCAATATTGAACATGAACTGATATCATTGCTCCATAACCATTATGGCCATCCCCGTATGCATTACATGCTTTTGTTTCATTTTTTTGTAACATTTTTAGCTTTACCCACACTACCTGATAAAAAATTGTTCAGTTCATGATACAGAGCAACGCGCCGTTGAGGTACTGGGTTTGAGCCTTGGATCTCGGTGTTTCTGTCTCCCTCTCCTGTCACCAGATTTCTTCATCAGCAATCATACTCTCTAATTATGTGTGCTTCCCAGCATTCAATAGGGTGTGTCTGGTTTGCATTTGTTCCATAATTAATGTGCTCCTTTTTCTGTCTTTCAGTGCAATTCCTAGTGTGCATCTCTGCATGTTTTTTTTTGCACAAATCTATGCTTTTGTTCGAATTTTTCTGCCATTATCCACATCTCGGATCCAAAGTGATGGCAGCCATTATGCACTGATTACAAATTATCTTTTTAGACGCGTCAATATGCTGCTTTCATTATCAAGATCAGCATTCTAAAACACTATCTCCTGAACTCGTTATCCTCTTAGTTAATCATTTTCATCACAAGGTGCCTGCCGTAAGTGCTTTAGCTCAACAGAAACATCTTGCTCAACACGGCTTTATGGAACGCTTGTTTCGGCTATCCACGGTTTACACAATGAGGTCTGTTTTCCGGAACACGGGGATGATGTTTCGGCTCTACGCGGTTTGACGCTGATAGAAGTCTCATCTCCCCGTCGACAAGAAGTGCCAGGAGAGAGCCGCATCCGTTGGAAGGTGTGAATGAATCGACTGAGAACAATGTATTTACCACGTGTGTTATTTTCGTATGATGTTACACACTCAACACGCAACAAAGGCACAACGCAAATGTTCACGCGTATTGCCGCATGCACCTAGCCGTGCAGTCGTTGAGGACTTCAGTCATACGGACGCCGAGATGGCGAATCATCAACATGCTCACGGACAACAGCACAACAGCACATTACAAATGCACAAGGCAAATGTTTACACATTTCCACTTGCAACTTGTAGCTGTCCAGTCGGTGACGCGAGTCATACGGACGACTAGATGGTGAATTGTTAACGTTCGAGTGACGGAGCCAGCGGCGAGCGTTGGGAGTAAGTGCCGCGGTGCGGGAAGAGGAATGGAGACGTGGGTTTTGTGTGGAGATGAAATTGAAAAATAAAAAGTGCATACACACAGACAAGAAATGGACAGCGACTCGGCATCCTTAAGTACAATAACAAGGGTGGACATCCTGTAGAATTAGTTAAACAAAGAGGGAGGGGATGATAATTTCGGTCCAAAGAATGCAACCCAATTCTTCCCAAAATGGTCTAATATTTGTCCAACAGGGTTTTGCCCTACACGGCATTTTCCAGGAACGTAACCCCCGTGTTCAGCGACGTCTGCTCCTCCAAAAGTTGTTTCATTTACCAAACTTGTTGTCCGTGAATTTATTTTTGTCACGTTTATCTCGTGTCCATATACCATCGTTTCTTCGTGCAGTTCTTCTTTCACATGTGGTTCCTTTCCGTTGATTGTTATCGTGGCTATCATTGGCGAATCTGAGATGGAAAAATGTTCTCGTTTACTTTCATAATACAGTATATCCTTTTTGCAAACACTCGTCTGCATTTCACTTGAGAGGCTCTCAGTGAGTGTGGGAAATGGGATAATTTATAAACCGCACCAGCTCCCTGTCGTATGTGAAGAGAACAAGTGGCAAGTCAGTTCAGCACCACGGCGCACCCAGCAGCTGGACTCAACGAGACAGGCACTGACGGCCCATCCCTACAGGCACGGATGGTCCATCCCTACAGGCATTGATGGCCCATCCCTACAGGCACTCACAGTCCATCCCTACAGGCACGGATGGCCCATCCCTATAGGCAGTAATGCACCATCCCTACAGGCACTGACGGTTGATCCCTACAAGCATTGATGGCCCATCCCTACAGGCATTGATGGCCCATCCCTACAGGCATTGATGGCCCATCCCTATAGGCACTGACGGTCCATCCCTACAGGCACGGATGGCCCATCCCTACAAGCATTGATGGCCCATCCCTACAGGCAGTAACGCACCATCCCTACAGGCACTGATGGTCCATCCCTACAGGTAGTAATGGCCCATCACTGCAGGCAGCAATGGTCCATCCCTATGCATGGATTTTTATATAATGGGCCTAAGATGTAGATAGCCTCTCATGGGTAATGTATCCCAGCACACTACTGTATGCAGACGGCATCTGTTCTCACTACACAAAAATGAATGTCGTGAACTTCTATCAGAAATGCAATGCATTGGGGACTTCTATCTGAAACAAAATGTATGTGTGAGTGGGCGCATAAAACGGCCACCAAGAGATATGATGCTGCACAGAAGACTTAAGAAGGAATGCTAGGAAACACGGCCGTTGAATTTGCATCCAGAGGCGTGTTTTCTTCCTATGCAGCTACAAAATAAAAGCAGCGAGGTGCAGGGCATATGGCTGCAGTGGGCATGATGGTGGGCTGTACAGTGAGGGAAAAAAAGTATTTTATCCCCTGCTGATTTTGTAAGTTTGCCCACTGACAAAGAAATGATCAGTCTATAATTGTAATGGTAGGTTTATTTTAACGGTGAGAGACAGAATAACAACAAAAAAATCCGTAAAAACGCATGTCGAAAATATTATAAATTGATTTGCATTTTAATGAGGGAAATAAGTATTTGACCCCCTCTCAATCAGAAAGATTTCTGGCTCCCAGGTGTCTTTTATACAGGTAACGAGCTGAAATTAGGAGCGCACTCTTAAAGGGAGTGCTCCTAATCTCAGCTTGTTACCTGTATAAAAGACACCTGTCCACAGAAGCAATCAATCAATCAGATTCCAAACTCTCCACCATGGCCAAGACCAAAGAGCTCTCCAATGATGTCAGGGACAAGATTGTACCTACACAAGGCGGAATGAGCTACAAGACCATTGCCAAGCAGCTTGGTGAGAAGGTGACAACAGTTGGTGCGATTATTCGCAAATGGAAGAAACACAAAAGAACTGTCAATCTCCCTCAGCCTGGGGCTCCATGCAAGATCTCACCTCGTGGAGTTGCAATGATCATGAGAATGGTGAGTAATCAACCCAGAACTACACGGGAGGATCTTGTCAATGATCTCAAGGCAGCTGGGACCGTAGTCACCAAGAAAACAAATGGTAACACACTACGCCGTGAAGGACTGAAATCCTGCAGCGCCCGCAAGGTCCCCCTGCTCAAGAAAGCACATATATATGCCCGTCTGAAGTTTGCCAATTAACATCTGAATGATTCAGAGGACAACTGGGTGAAAGTGTTGTGGTCAGATGAGACCAAAATGGAGCTCTTTGGCATCAACTCAATTCGCCGTGTTTGGAGGAGGAATGCTGCCTATGACCCCAAGAACACCATCCCCACCGTCAAACATGGAGGTGGAAACATTATGCTTTGGGGGTGTTTTTCTGCTAAGGGGACAGGACAACTTCACCCCATCAAAGGGACGATGGATGGGGCCATGTACCGTCAAATCTTGGGTGAGAACCTCCTTCCCTCAGCCAGGGCATTGAAAATGGGTCGTGGATGGGTATTCCAGCATGACAATGACCCAAAACACACGGTCAAGGCAACAACGGAGTGGCTCAAGAAGAAGCACATTAATGTCCTGGAGTGGCCTAGCCAGTCTCCAGACCTTAATCCCATAGAAAATCTGTGGAGGGAGCTGAAAATTCGAGTTGCCAAACGTCAGCCTCGAAACCTTAATGACTTGGAGAAGATCTGCAAAGAGGAGTGGGACAAAATCCCTCCTGAGATGTGTGCAAACCTGGTGGCCAACTACAAGAAACGTCTGACCCCTGTGATTCCCAACAAGGGTTTTGCCACCAAGTACTAAGTCATGTTTTGCAGAGGGGTCAAATACTTATTTCCCTCATTAAAATGCAAATCAATTTATAACATTTTTGACATGCGTTTTTCTGGATTTTGTTGTTGTTATTCTGTCTCTCACTGTTCAATTAAACCTACCATTAAAATTATAGACTGATAATTTTTTTGTCAGTGGGCAAACGTACAAAATCAGCAGGGGATCAAATACTTTTTTTCCCTCACTGTATATTCAATGGGAAGTAGCTAATTAGCGGACGAGTACATTATTCAAATCCAATTGTTAAATCTAAAAGGGCCGGGAGAGAAATGAAGAATCTGATGAATAAAACACAAATCAATGTATTCTAAACTAAACTTTTTTTATTTTATTTTACCAGGTAAACCCCACTGAGCTATGTAGCTCGTTTTCAGATGCGACCGGGCCGCAAATGACAGCTCAACGAAGTGGCTTATCACGTGTAAATTTATAACAGCCAAATACTCTAAATGCGTGATGTTTCTAAATGTAGTGGGAAAAACCGGAGGACCCAGAGAAAAGTCACACAACCAAGGGGAGAACATGTAAACTCCATATATACAGCAGGCGTCAGGGTCGGGATGGAACCCACGACCTCCTGTACACCAGGCGAGGTAGTTAATATCTTGCCACTGCGGTACAGTTGTTATCTGACTGCAAATGAAGCCTTCATTCCAAATTGCTAATTTCTTGAAAAATATATAAACACAACTTCAAGAATGCTGAATAGCGGCTTTGACACCAGAAACGTAGTGTCATGATAGCAGGTTGTATCTCGTATTGTCATAAAACACAAGCAGTGGTTGTGTTCTATAGCAGGGGTGTTGACACCATGCATCCTTTAAGGAATAGATGACAATGGTGCCACTGTGTACGATTATGCCGGTGAAAAAAAAAAGCCTGGTTATATGCGATTGAAATTATGTCTTTTATCTAGGAAATTCTCAACGAAGTCTCAAGGCTGCTTTTCACAAGGATCTTACATTTTCATGAGGGGGCACACATTTGGCCAATTCCTTGAGTGTTTTTTTTCGGCATGTAGCAAACAACTGGAGTACCTAGAGAAGATCCACCCTCAAGGGCAGCGCTTCACAGGCACTGTGCCAGGGCAATGTTCCAGGTGTGCCCACCGTGTTTTTGGATTTGTAGGAAAGGAAAGAACGGTTCGCAAGCGAGGACCGAAGTGCTCTCCGACGTGCCGTGCAGGGGCTGATCCAGCCCACACCTCCCACTCCCCCCTTCCCTTTGGTCGCCGTGCAGTACGACAGGAGGCAGCTGTCATCTGCCCACCCATCCGGGCCCACAGTGATTATTGGTTTGGTGTGCCGCCAAGATCGAGCAAGCTCCTAAGGGTGCCGTGGAGTGAAGAATTCATTTTTTTAAAATTGTATTTTAACAGGCAAAGCTCACTGAGCCGTATAATTCTTTTTCAGAAGCATCCTGGCCAAAAATGAGAGCTCAACGAAGTAGCTTATCACGTGGACATTAAATGCAGCCAAAATACTCGAAACACATGTTTAAAATGTGGAGGGAAAGACCAGAGAACCCGGAAAAAAATCCACGTGACCACGGGGAGAACAGGCAAACTCCAGAAGCACTGACCTAGGGGATAATGTTCATATTCTGTGCACATCGGACTTTAACACATTTGCAGTGCTGCCTACTCTTGACCACTTTACAGTAGGTTGTCTCGCAAGACGTAACCCACGTACCTCACCTTCAAAGTGCTCTATTTGCAGTGATGATGGCGGACATACGGAGCATAATTACACGCTGCCTATATTAATACTCGCCATATGCCCCACATACGTCTACGACTGCACTTATGGCTAAGGGGGCGCTGTCCTGGTGTAATGGTTAGCACACTGGACGTTGCTTTGCAGAGGTCACCAATTTGATTCCATCTCCCCGTGCAGCAGCAGCTGTAACAATGGGTATGTTTCTTAAATTCCTCCGCTTCTATCCGCCCTGCAGTCTAAATTGCGACTAGATTGGCAAGACGGTGTTGTGGCCAGTGTGGAATAGGCCAAATACCCTCGAGTGGGGCGCTCTAAGAGCTCCCTCTGGCAGAGGCTCTTCTACCAGCAGTGGCATAAGCAAGCAATTGCAGCGCTGGATCTCTACTTGTTACCTGTTACTCCACTGACTGGACCGTGGTTCAGAGGTCACCAAGGCGGTATTCAGCAAGCGCACAGCACTAACCCACGCTGTCACACGTCCATCTGTGTGCGTGCACGTGTTAGCAGTTCTCACCTTGGCAGAGTCTTGGCTGGGCCACGTGGCGAGCTGGCAGGGGGGAGCGGTGCGCACCACGGCCGAGAAGGATAGCCCCGATGCGGCGAGCAGACCTGCACAGATCGGGAGAGACAGTCAGCCATACATGCGTGCCATTGGTGTACCTTGGGCATTATCAGGCTGGATATTGTTATTATTATTAATCGCGCACTAATTAGAACAAAAAATAATAGCCATGGTATCTTTATTTCAAGGGATATCGGTGTATCCCACGTGAAATAAATAAAGGACGTTCATGGTTTCTCGCGAGGCACTTCATGTAAAGGGCGGTGAAGTGAAATTAAAGCAGACCCGGCCACAGTGTGAGAGAGGCTTTAATTGCCGGTGCAGGTGACACCTGTACACTATCCCTGCTGACAATGTGCTCAGAAGGCCGTGTGCTGTCCCAGACTCCGGCGTACCTGGAATTTTCTCATTGTCACCCTTGATTGGATTTTAACAGCTCACTAAAGATGAGTCAACCCAAACGCACTAATTAAGTGTCGTATTCCCAAACGTAGATTTTTGTTGAATTAATGAGCATCCAGTCCTTGTGACATTTAATTGCAAGTAACGGATTTCATTAATTAAATCGTCGCTGTCGCCATAATCTCTGTTTTTCCCAATTTAGCAACCGCAGAATAACATTCCTGTATTCCCCCCCCCTGATCCACTTTGCACTGTACAGCATTTTCTTTGTTCCAATGGACAACTGCTTGTCTTAAAGGTTAAGTTAGTATGCATTTAAATCAATAGCAGCCACAACGTATCGACCATGGTAATACTGACGTCAGTAAGTGAGTCACGAACGTCACGAGCAGTAAAATTGGACTTGGCTTATTTACTTATTTATTAACACCTCTGCATCCTTCAATGCCAATTACACACGACAAAATAATCAAGTCAAAGTGTCTCTCTACACAAAAGTGTTTCCCTGCACAAATGATAAATGAGGGGTGCTCATCTGTCTTGGCTTTATTATCACATTTGTATTCTCCAACATTGTTTTTTTCCTGTACGTCTAATTTATTTAGCCTGTTTCATTGGCTCTGTCTGGTTTGTGTTAGTTTTTTCCCCCCATTCATTTTATGCGTCTTGTTTATTGTGTACGTCTCGTCCGTTCTGTTTCGTTTGTAATGTCCGTCGCTTTTACATTGTCTGTGTGCACTGGCGTGTCTGGTTGATCCCATCTGTCTCAATTCTATTGTTGAGCTCGTTCTGTCTGTCTGGCTTATATTGTCTGTCTGCAGAATGTTGTCTCATTTGTATTGTCTATCTAATTTATATTGTCCGTCTCGTTTGATTTGTCTATTTTTGTTTGACCATAACCCTAAATGTAGATTAGCTTAACATTTGCACATAATCAATGTACATTGCAAATAACTCAATGCATATAATGCAAGTGAAAACAGTGATTTTGTCTAGTTTTGTTTGACCATAACCCTAAATGTAGATTAGCTTAACATTTGCACATAATTAATGTACATTGCAAATAACTCAATGCATATAATGCAAGTGAAAACAGTGATTTTAGTCGATGAAGCGTTGCCTCATTCCATGACTAATAAGGAGCTCACTTGCACTTAGTTGTAAATAGTCAGATTTCCATGCCCATATGGAACTCATTCACTGAGCCATCTTTCCCTGATGTTCAGCACTATGTTACAATGATAATTGCCTTGTTAATGCCCATTTCACTATTCGTGTGTTTGTGTAACTCTACATTGAGCAGCATTGCCTATGATGTGTGTGAACTGACACTAATTGGATTGAAACAAATAAATAGAATAAACATTTAAATAGCAGTGTAATGCCACTTATGGAATAGTAACATATTTTCAATACAGTGTGCAATAAGAAGTGTGCCATCCCAGTTGGGATGTCGGATTTGTTAGAAAATGTTATGTTGTAACACATCTCCAAATGCTGATGGCGAGTTAAGCAATCTCCTCCTCTGCGTCGTGGTACCTGGCTGCAGTCCCACGTCGCTCCCACTGTTCATCTCCTGTTCACCGCACCCTCGTACCTTACCCACGGTTTTCTTCAATATCCCCTGCTCTTCTTAGTTTCACCTTCCACTACATCTTCTTCTTTCTTCTTATTATTATTACTACTTGTTTTGCTTTATTATTTTCCTCATTTTTACTTTGGTGGTGCCCGAGTGTTGTGGCGGTGGCAGAACCCCTGGCTCCAACCCCGCCTGCCATCCGCGCGCACTGCACACGCCCCGCGGCGCTGCTACAGCTGAACAAACGCCGGCTGCGGTGTTACACAGCCCGGCTTACCTGCCGCCTCGCACTTGGTGAGGGGCAGTGTGCGTGAACGAGGCCGGCTGCTCCCACGCACGAGGCTGGGGGAGGCTGGATGACGCCGGCTGCACTGTTCACGCAGTGCGGCTTACCAGCCGCCCCGTCCTCGCAAGCCACCACCTCCACCTCTATCAGTGATTGGGAGCTTGGCGTGCCTCAGCATGGCCGGCCAGTGGGAGCTCGACGTGCTCCATTCACTGCTCAACACCACCAGCGAGTGGGAACGTGACGCAGACTGTCCACTGCTCAGCACGAGAGAGCGGGGTTGTGCCTGCTGCCCAGCACCACCGGCGGAATGGGAGCTCGGCGCGGTTCGTCCACCCTGCTGCATCGCCTGCGAACCGGAGCACAGCGCGTGGTCAGCTACTCCCACTAGACCTCGTGCTCTTCTGGCCGCTCCATCGTACGCGCCGCGTGCGTGGCCGTGTCCGCACGTGTACGTACGTGCTCAACGAGTGCTTACGTGGGCGTGCACGCACCCGCCACGTGCGTGGGAGCGCGTGCTGACGGCGTGTGTCTTGGACACCACTTGCTGGACAAGCTGCTCCGGACAAGCTGCTCCGGACAGCACAGCCGCTGATCGGAGTCCACCCGAATCCTGCCCCACCCCCCCCCAACGCCACTAACCGTACAGCGTGGGCTGATATAATAGGGCCTCGACATGCACCATCTCTTCATCACCTGCACTTGGAATCCGCGCTCCTGAGGACGCTCTCTGGCCTCGGGCCTCTTCGGGGTCAACGTCAGAGACTGCATCGGCACCGTGGTTGCAGAGGCGGCAGGGGCCCCTGGTCACAGGTCAACCTTCAAACCAGCTATTTGCTCTGATCTCTCGACACCGCACCTCTTCGGATCTTCACATCCAGATTTACCCATCCGCCTCGGCCTACTCAACTCATGCTCCATTACCAACAAATCAGCCCTCATTCGCGATACCATCTCGGACCACCACATCGACCTTTTGCTTATTACCGAGACCTGGTGCAGGCCAGACTTCCCGCCAGCCATCTCTTTGGAAGTCGCGCCCCCGGGATGCAAGGTTCTTCACAAACCTTGCGCAACTAACCAGCGGGGTGGTGGCTTAGCGGTCATCTACAATGTTGACTTGAGAATAAAAGAGCTCTACCTACCGATGGCTCCCACCACTTTTGAGGTCCAGTCCGTGTCCCTCACTACTAACACCGAGTGCTTTTCCCTCATCATGGTACCTCCTTTACCAGTACCAAAATATGAGAATAGGTTTTCCCCTTTTTTCTGGCAACAAAACAGATATTGAGATGTTAAAACACCAAACTGAAACCTTTTACAAGGAATCATGTCTGCATTAACCACAATACTTGTGGTCAGAATGTCCCCCAGGGCTCTCTCCTCGGTCCCTTGCTGTTCACAGCCTACACTTCCCTGATCGGCTGCCTCATCGCAAGCTTCGGTGTCAAGCACCACTCACATGCGGACGACACTATTCCATTCACCGCCATCAATTATTCCAATGCATCTGGATTTGAGAGGCTCTCGGAATGCACCACTGCCCAGCAAGTGGTTCTCCGCACACAACTTTGCCCTTAATATGTCAAAGTCAGTGGCCACCATGTTAGGTACCAGGCAATGTCTCAACTTATCCACGTTCCCAACACACATACACATCTTTGGTCACAGCATCAGGTTCACCGATCACTTCAGCTACCTCGGTGTCATCCTAGATTCAACTTTATCCTTCGACCACCAAACCAATCATATCATCAGTGCATGTAACTTTCACCTGAAGGCTCTCAGACACCTACGTCCTCTCAACTCCACTGAAACTGCCAACAAATTGGCACGTTGCATAGTTGGGTCTCGCCTCGACTATTGCAACTCCATCCTAGTCCGGTCCTCCTCTGGCAATCTCAAAAAAACTTCAAAGACTACAAACCAACCTGGCACGCGTCATTTGCCGCACTCATCCTCGGCTCGACTCGCTTGCCTCTCTCTCCGTGCCCTCCACTGGCTACCCATCGCCAGCAGGGTCACGTACAAGATCGTCTGCCTCTGCCACCGCACCTTCACATCTGCTTGTCCCCCGTACCTCTCTTCATTACTGACGACTTGCAGCACAGCACACGGCAGATGCCTTCGCAGTGCGACTCACGACCTCCGCTCGGTGGCTGCCCCAACAGTCTGGAACGTCATCACCCCTCTGCACATTGGCAGCATCACCTCAATCGTCTCCTTCAAGAGACACTTAAAAACTCACCTCCACAACCACGCTTTCGAGTTACTCTGAGCTTGGCTCTGCGCCCCTGAGTTGCGGACGTTACAGCCGCAAATTTGCGCGCGTTATAAATTGCATTATCATCATCTATTTACACCACCACCAGCACAACCATCACCACTACCAGCAAGATCACCGCCAGCATGAATGCCAACATTGGCACCGCCACTACAAGAACTACTATCACACCAGCTGCAGCACCACCACCTTCAGCAAACCACCATCACATTCGTAACAAATGACTCGGAGTCCGGCATGAAAGCGTCACATCAGAGCTGGAGTAATATAGGTACATTTGGTGCACAGGCAAAGGGATACACAGTTGAAGAAGAGCCCTCTGCTGGCAAGGGCTAAGAACATGGGTGGGAAACGTGGCTGTATAAGAGCCCCCAAAAGTTAAGCATCTTCTAGAATTGCCCCACTATGGCCCACAAACGTAATCCCAACACTGCGCAGCATGCAGACATTACCGCAGATGTACTGCTGAATGCGCCCTATCTGCGTACTAAAAAAA